GAATAGTCCGCGAATAGTCGACGAATAGTGCGAATAGTCCGCGAATAGCCGACGAATAGTACGAATAGTCCGCGAATAGTCGACGAATAGTACGAATAGTCCACGAATAGGCGACGAATAGTACGAATAGTGCAATAGAGACTTTGCAAGGCTTTGCAGCAGTGCTGTAGAACTAAATTTACCGGGGGGGGGCTCTGTTGACAAACATGAAATCGTGAAAACATTCGTCGACGTACGTCAATGACGTCATACGTCTAGTGATTGTCATCAGTGGCGCCGTGGCCGGGGGGGGCATGGCCCTCCCCTATTGTTGACACCCGTCGTAAAATTGCCAATGCTGCCGGAAATTGTCGGAAAATTGTCAAGGCTGTCGGAAATTGTCGAAGTTGTCGACGGGGGGGGGGTGGGTGGGGGTGAAGATTTAAAATGTTGTCGTCCGGAAAACTTTTTGGTTTGTCGGAAAAATTTTTCGGTTTGTCGGAAAAGTACTGCCCTTGCCCCCCCCCCAAAAAAAAACATGGGTCCCACGGCGCCACTGATTGTCATTCTACTTCCTGTTAAATATTTGTTAAAACTCAGTGGTCCCGTAATTTTTACCGATTACGTATGACGTCATTGACATCAACGAATGTTTTCACGATTTCATGTTTGTCAATAGAGCCCCCCCCCCCGCCCCGCTTCGGTAAATTTAGTTCTACAGCACGGTGGAAAGTCTTGCAAAGTCTCTATAGCACTATTCGTCGACTATTCGTACTATTCGTCGACTATTCGCGGACTATTCGCACTATTCGTCGACTATTCGCGGACTATTCGCACTATTCGTCGACTATTCGCACTATTCGTACTATTCGTCACTATTCGCACTATTCGCACTATTCGTCGACTATTCGCACTATTCGTACTATTCGCTTCACTATTCTAGTTTTATCAATTGCCGAAATTTTGTTTGGCTCAAAATTCAAAAACAACTAAACATGATTACGTGATTGATATGTTTGTAATATTTCGCCCAATTGCAACGAGGAATGATGACGTGTGCACACGCGTTTATCCAATCAGATTAAAGAAATATAGCGATAGCACACGTCAGCAAATTGGAATTTGGATTTTGGAAATCGGAACTTTTTTTAAAAAAATAAAACAGCGGCTTTTGCATTTTATAATAATCAGAGAATAGATACTATGGACTATAATCTCTCCTATGTGATTTAATATCGCCACCAATGACAATGATTAAATGAGAAAGTGAAGCCGGAAGTGTCCATTTCGTGCGATTTTATATCTCTTTCACATTTTCGATTTGTTTCCCTACAACAGGCTTGTTGAAACTTGTTGTGACAGGACAAAAATTGTTTGTTGTGGACAGGTTTGTCGCAGGTCTGATAACAAGCTTGCTGCAGACTTGACAAAAACAACTCGTGACAGGTCTGTTGGAACAGGTTGTAACAGACCTGTTGATTTCAACAGACTTGCTGCAAATTGTTCTATCAGACCTGTTATCTCTTGTTAGTAACAGGTTTGTAGCGGGTTGTTTCAACAAGTCGCTACGGCTCTGTTGTCAACAGCTTGCGACAGACCTGTTACCGCCTGACGAAACCAACAGACCTGTCGCGACTTGTTGACAACTTGCCGCAAGCCGGTAAAATCAACAGCTTGCGACAGGCCTGTGAGATTTCTGGCTGTGTACGCAGGTCTGTCAGAACAGACAGGTACAAGGCGAGCGAACGCATCCAGATATCGGCTTGTTGGCAACAGGATTTAACAGATCTGTTGCAGATCTGTTCCGACTTGCGCGTTTCTGGCTGTGTACATAACACAATATGAATTCAGTTATTCATCAGGCCCAGAAAAGTAAATGTGAATTGAGTATAAACGGGTAAATACCATGTCATTTTACAGACGACGTTGTCAACAGAACTTGGTACATATAAACAGGATTTCTCCACAATGGAAACTGAGTTAGAATTGTTGAGGAAACAAGATGCAGAAAATAGAGAATTACTTAAGAAAACTTCGTCACAGTTGCATAAAAATAAAACAGAGCTAGGGACGACCAAAGAAAATTTAACAGGTAACGTTTAATATGTTAAGCATGGTTAGATCATGCAGAGGTTGTACATGTTCTTGAATGTGAGCTACTTCAAAATGATCAGGTTGTATAGAACTCACTGCTGGGTTAAGCAGGATTAGGTCATGCAGAGGTAGTACATGTTCTTGAATGCTAGCTACCTTAAAGTGATCTGATGTTGTACAGAACTCACTTCTGAGTTAAGCATAGTTAGATCATGCAGAGGTAGTACATTTTTTTGAATGCTAGCTACCTTAAAGTGATCTGATGTTGTACAGAACTCACTGCCGAGTTAAGCATAGTTAGATCATGCAGAGGTAGTACATGTTCTTGAATGTGAGCTACCTTAAAGTCATCTGATGTTGTACAGAACTCACTGCTGAGGTAAGCATGGTTAGATCATGCAGAGGTAGTACATGTTCTTGAATGTGGGCTACTTTAAAGTAATCTGATGTTGTACAGAACTCACTGCTGTGTTAAGTTAGATCATGCAGGGGTGATGCACGTTCTTCAATGTGGCCTCTTATTCGTACCACAATTAATGAGAAAACTTAATTTGAGTTGTTGATTTTGATATTTTCTTTATGGTAGAAAGAGAAGAGGAAGTTCAAAGATTGTCATCTTCATTAAAGAATCTCAAACAAGAACGTAAAAAATTGGAAGGCAATTTTACTTCACTCGAGGAAACTGTCAGTGATTTGAAGCAAGAGAACGAATCTTTGGAAAAGGTGAATTGTTGGAAGATTTGATTAGATTGTGTATTGCATTGCATTGCATTGCATTGCATTGCATTGCATTGCATTGCATTGCATTGCATTGCATTACATTACAACTTGTCAACAAGATGTGTTCGCACCGCTTGTTTTCAGCTTGTTGACAACTTGCTACAAGGTTGTTGAACTCAACAGGCTTGTTACAAGTTATTTCAACAACTTGTTATCGTCCTGCGATTCAACAATTTGTCAACAAGTTGTGAGTGACAACCTTGTAGCAACTTGATAAAATAACAGCATTGTTACAATTTGTTGACAAGCTTGCTACAATCCTGTTGCGAACACATCTTGTTGACAAGTTGTGAGATTTTTACGTGTGTACCTGTAAAAAACCTCAATGTTTCAAGCGAAGTGTATGATAAAACAATCTCCTGGACATTGTAGAATTTGGCAGATCGTAAAAAGAAGCATGCGGAAGTAAAGAAGAGAATGGATGAAGAAATCGAGGAATTAAAATCTGCTCATGAGGTAGGATTAATATTTTGCGAGGAGTATTTGGAATCTTAACTCTTTGTTCAACAATTTTCGACATCCATTGTATTTTTAGGAAGAGCTGAACAGCCTCAAGGAAAGACATCGTCGAGAATTAACTTCGAGTAGCTCTTCGCTTTCACAACAGGTACATATTTTCTGTATTCGTACTGCATTTACAGGCTAGGCGAGGGACTTCGCCACTGGGGAGGGGGTGTGGGGAGTGTTACAGCTCTCCCCACTTCCCCAATGATTTAAATTAAGTTCAAATAGTTGGTTAAAATGCAAAATATTTGGTCAAAATAGTTGGTCAAAATGGGAAAAAATTGTTTTTCAAATTGGTTTACATTGCCAAATAACTAAAGTAGTGCACAAAAAACGCAAACTTTTCAATTTGTAAAAATCCCACCTCCCAAGCATTCAGTTTTTCCATCACGAATTTGATGGAGTCAAACCTTTGAAAAGTTGGTCAAAATATCAGAACACCACCCCCTCCCCTCCCCCTCCCAATGTTAATGACTTCGCCTCCTGTGTAGAGGTCCAGTAAGGGCCATTTCGTCTTAATCAAGTTATATGAAAGATCATTTAGTGGCTTATTCTGTTGTATTCAGATTTCTGAACTCGAGTCAGAAATGGAGACGAAATGGCAAGAGAAATCCAAACAGATGGTACATCAATGCGAAAAGAAATGGCAGAGAAAGTACGACGACGTTGTTGAGGAAAGTGAAACGATGAAGAAAAAGTTAACGGAAAATGAGGAAAAAGTGAGTATGTTTTTGTTTTGTGCCAGAGGATTTCGTCACCAACACTTGTAGCCTGCGTAGGGGCGTTGTTAGGAGTGGGGGAGGGGAGAGCGAGGGAGGGGGGGAGCTTGGGGGAGGAAGGCGAGAGAAAGAGAGCGTGGTCACCTCACTTGTCTTTCAAACTGGGAGATCCAGGTTCAATCTTTGGTTGGACCTCTACTCAAGGTCTTAAAATAATTGAGGAGAAAGTGCTATCTTTACATTGACATCAGTAAATGGTTAGACTTTCGCGTCTTCTCAGATAAGGACGTTAAAATCGTAGATACCTCGGATCCCCTGTCAATTGGGAATCAATTGGGCAATAGCCTCACCAATGAGTCCAGACTGCTAACTTTGCTAATTGCGCACCGAATATGATTTTGTTGCCAAAAAATGTGCACTCATGTTTCACTGGAGGGACAGAATGCGCACTCAGGTGATAAGTGAGGAAATTCGCACATCAATGACATCACTGAAGTATCAACTTTTGAGTAGTTTTGAAAGTGCATTTGTCAAAAAAATAAAAAAATTCTGTGCAAACTGCTCACATAATGCGCACCTGACTTCAATTCTTAAAACACACGTAGTTCATCTCGAAAAATGCGCACGGAATATCTTCCGTGCGCACAGTAAAGTCTGGCAATGAGTGGGAAACTGGATAAATGCAGTCATTGACAAGTCGAGTTTATTCAGTGCAATTAAGGCGGATTTACACTGTCAAAGATTTTTTGCCAACGATCAGTCTTTACCCAAGGTCCACAAGATGTTTAAATTACTCGATCACCTCTGTCTTTTTATAACACGTAAAATATTTATTATAGCATTCAACAATGAAAACATCTCAGACGCGGCATCTGCAAGAAATTGAAGACCTGCAAGAAAAACTGAAAGATTTGGATGAAACACGGAATAAAGTACGATTAATAAAATATTGAATAGAATAATATGTGTGAGTTCGCCGTATGAGTTCACTTCGATAAACCCTTGACGTTTTATTCAAACTACCTGTAGTAGATAGGAAAATGTCCGGAGATTGTTTCATTCTATGCAAACATTTGTTCGTCATTTCGCATTCTCTTGTAGTACATGAGTATGAAGAATTCCCAGGGTGAACAACAGCAAGAAATGGACGACCTTCGAGAAAAAGTTAAAGACATGGAAAATACGCAAAGGAAAGTAAGTTCAAAATATAATCTGAACAATTTTAACAGTCAGGAGGATGTTATGAGACCATTTAATGAGGTTAAATAGATGTAAGCAAGGTTAACGACAGATGTATTATGCATGCATGTTGAATTCTGTTTGGGGGAAGCCCATGACGTTCGTGGCGGCGCCCTGATCGGATCAATTGGCTGTTTTTGTCTTGCCTTGTTGCAGCAAGTTGCGTTTGTTACCCCTTTCCCCACCTTTTTGTTTTAGTTAAACTTTGTTAGTTCAACAAGTACAATGTATATACCACTATAGACTGTATTTTTCCAATGACTCGTCAGTGTGACAGATGCCGGAGGGATGCCTTGGCAGAATTGTCATGGCGAACTCCTTTGCTGCTATTTTACCGGTTGTTGCTATAATTGTTGCTGCTCTGTTGCCATGCCAATCCGTCTTGCCAGCAAGACGTTGCAGCCTTCGACCACGAACGACACCTACCTCCAAATACCAATACTATATATGCCGTTAAACAATGTTGTTGTTTTGAACAGTATCAAGATTTAAGAATGAAAAGCATTGAAATGAAGGAAAAATACGAACAAAGATTACAGGAGTTGGTCAAGGTATAATATTGGACAAAGATTAAATATGATCTTTAAGCAAATTACATTCACGGCTTAATGGACCTATTACCTAATGAACAAAATTTTGATCTAGACAAGTCTAGACATAAATTTCATCACAGCTTGAAAGAGCATCACAAAATTAGTAATATTCCGAAGTTTCGTCGCGAAATGTTGTAAATGCGGATAATATAGGTTATATAGCACTGCGAAGTTTACTGTTTTTCAGTCATTTTGTATTACGCACGGGAAATTTGACACCGCTTTCTGAAAAAAAGTATCAATTTCCCGCGCGTAATACAAAATGACTGAAAAACGGTAAACTTCGCAGGGCTATATTATCCGCATTTTACAACATTTCGCAACGAAACTTCGGAATATTACTAATTTTGTGATGCTCTTTCAAGCCGTGATGAAATTTTTGTCTAGACTTGTCTAGATCAAAATTATGTTCATTAGGTAATAGGTCCATATATCGACACTTAAACTTAATTTATATGACAATCTCTTTGCCTTCGTTGTATTTTGACTGCCATTTTTTGTTAATTTAGGAAAAGGAGATTGCCGTGCAGGAAGCTCAACAGAAGTCGTCAGAAGAAAAACAAGAAGCTGCCGTACAGCAGCAAGCTTCTGAACCGTCCAGAGATAAAATTGTGAATGAGGTCAAGCAAATTATGAACAAAGTGTTTTTCAAAATACGGGAAGAATTTGTCACTGGTGATAATTACAAAGGCTCGGCAATTATTTCTGTTGTACTAAACGTTATTAAAGTAAGTAAAAAAATGTTATTAATAATCACATTTATGTAATTTGAAAAATTTTGGCTCAACATAATTTTTTTGAATTATCAAAATAACTGAGTAAAATAAATCATTTTATGAAATAAAATTTGTTAAACTACTTTAAAGCCAAAGTATCCGCCATGTTGAAACGTCATTGTTGCCATAGCAGCGGCGTAACTTTTGTGAAACGTTTTAGATGTTGTTTTTGTCAAACTCTTTAGATGTTGTTTTATATTTGAGCAAGATGGTTTTTGCTTACTTGTCCAAAATTACGGATTTAAATAGCAAATTTTCCATTTTTAAAAGACTGTTTAATAGCCATGTTTTATTGTAAAATGTTACCTGCTTGTTTCTTTTGCAGACCATGACGTTAAAACTGACTAGTGGGGAAGATGAAGAAAGTGAAGAAGAGGATGAAAGTGGAGATGAAGATGAAAGTGGCAGCGAGAAGCAAGAGGAAGGAGAGATAAGTGAAGAAGATGAAAGTGAAGAGGATGGTGATGAAAGTGAAAAAGAAGATGGTGATGAAGGTGAAAAAGAGGAAATTGAAAACGGAAAAGTGGAAGAAAAAGAAAGTGGAGAAGAGGAGAAAGAGAAAAATGAAAATGTTGAAGTTCGGGAAGATGTGAAAGATGAAAGTGAAAAAGCGGAAGTTGAAGAAAGTGGAGGTGATGGAAGTGGAGGTGATGAGGAAGGAAGTGGAGGAGATCTAAGTGAAAAAGAAGATGAAAGTGGTGAAGAGGAAGGGAAGAATGTAACTGGGAATGAAAGGCAGGAGGATGAAGTAAAGGATGAAGAGGAAGAACAAAAAGCTGATGTGAATGAAAGTGACGTAATCAATGATGAAGATGAGAATGGACAGATGGAAGGAAGAGATGAAAGAATGGCAGAAGATGACACTAGTGAAAATAAAACCGAAAGTACCTCGATAGGTAGTGATGGTCAAGAAGAAGGAGTGGTGATGGATTCTGAGGGTCCTGCCAGGGTAACTGAGGATATATCTCCACTACACCCCGCAAAGTATAGTGATAGCGAGGATGAGGACCCGGGGGTGACTGAGGGTCCTCCACCAAGGGACCCCGAGGACACCGGCGATCATTTAGGGATAGTGGAGCAATATGGTGGTGGTCTTTCATTGACAGTAGGGAATAATGGAAGCTCAGAAGAAGATCTTGAAACTATATCGAACAGACCAGTCCTTGGTTCCGAGCATACTAGCATCTCGTCTGACGAGGAAAATGATGGGAACACTGTGGATAGAAATGATCAAGATAAGGATAGCCAGGGACCCTTGGTGTCTGATCTGCCGAACGTAGATGAACTATCTGGTACAAGTAAGGATATCGAAGGGGGTGGTAGTGAGGGTGAATCAAAGGAAGTCGATGGTGAAGTTGAAAATACGAGGGAAAATGAAAATGATAAAGTGGAAAATGGCGAGGCGGTGACAAGTGAAGTTGAGGTTGCGGCAGAAGAAAAAGAGGAGAAAAAAGTCCAGAGCCTGTCAGAGTAAGAATAATTTGAAGCAATATTATCTGACACAAAATAGTAGTAGAATATTGCTGCCACAGTGGTCAGCACATGTGTTTTTACCTCAACATGCTGTTATACGATTATAATTTCGTCTCATGCGAGAAGAACTGTAGTTTGCTGAATTTTTTCTTTCAGCTTCTTAAGTGATGACGAAGATGATGTGGAAGGATTGTTTGATACTCCTGCACCAAAAACGATTTCAACACCAGCAAAGAAAGATGAGGTATTTTTAGATTTTTCATCTTGCGCGTATATATTTACATCCTGCCTTGTTGTTTTATCATATTGCAAACAGATTGTTACTCGTTACTGGGGTGAGAGCTTTGAGCTTGGAACATGGTAATGTAGCACAGCCCAAGTAAGCTTTATTCATACCAAAGGATTGCGTCGGTTCTAAACCGTTCTTCCTGGAGATCCAGTAAGGATCATGTCCTATTGATCCAGTGTTACTAAACCTAAACTAAACAGGCTTTGTATAGACTGGATAGCTCTATCAGTTCTAAACTGTTCTTCCTAAAGATCCAAGAACGGTCATCTCTTATTGATCCAGTGTTATTACAGGGTCAAACTGGAAGCACTGTGCTCGAATGCAACTGAGATGATTTCCGGGAATGAAACCACATAGCTACATACACTAAGGCTGGGATTACACTATACCGGATTGATTTACATACCGGATTAATTTTCACTCCGAAGTAAAAAACAAGGGTGTTTACACTATACATGCCGCTTCGCTCTATTGCCAGCTCATTTCTCGCTGTCGCCATGGAAACAAGTAACACTTTTTGCCAGAAAACTAAAATTTATTAAAAACAAGAAGTAACACACGTTTTCTTTGTAAAGTATAACTTTGTTTAAAAAGCTTGACTACCAGACGTTGCTTCGTTTCGCTCTAGTTCAAAATTGACGAGTATTTGCCCTATCGAAAGCGAAAAGTCAATGTTATTATCGTTTTCTTTATTTGTCTTCGCCAGAAATAGTAAATGGTTGTAAGGCGAAACAAACAACAGCTTACAGCTCTAAAATATTGTAAAAGCAAGCAAATAAAGGCGACAATGGTAAAACGTACACGCCAAAACCGATTTTGTACCGAAGCGTACCGGATTGGCCTGCTTACACTGCTTCGGCACATGTACATACCGGAATACTTTTCATATTATCTCCAAAGCGGAGTGATTTTTGCTCCGCGTCTCGTATCGGATTACTGTGGCGTAGTGTAAACAGCATCCGAATCCGGTGCGAAAATCGCGACGCTCCGATGCAATCCGGTATAGTGTAAACGGGGCCTAAGTAACCACAGTATTTTATCTCGCTTTCCCCAGGGTCCACCTCTGAAAGGAATTCCCCCACCTCTCTTTGATGACGATGATGACGACGACGACTTGGATTGGTTCTCATGACAATTCCTAGAAATTTTAGTGAAATTTTAAATTTGAAGACAAGAAATGGTTTGACCTGTTATTTTTGTCTTTAGTAAATAATAGTTCATGTTTATGAATTTTCTACGTACGTGATTTTCAAGAAAAATTGAGTGATGAGCGATGACCACAGATTAAAAAACAATGATCGAATTCCTTGTAGTAACATGTTTCAACAAGCTTTACAGTATACTATAATTGATATAACGTTGAGACCTGGATATTTTTAAGGCCGTGTGCCAGTGACTTCGCTTGCGTGTCATAATTCCCCCAATTTGAATTACAGTCGTGCCAATAGAAGTGTTCCGAAAAATGTTGACCAGTTCATTTCCTAACTTCGAGGAGTTCCTCTGAACAATTCCTCATCAATTTGATAAGTTCCTTAAAAAGTTCCTAACTTCCTGTTTCATTGACCAATCCGATTGCTCAAAAATAAAATATAAAATTTGATTGGTCAATGAAACAGGAAGTTAGGAACTTTTTAAGGAACTTATCACGTTGAGGAACCGTTCAGAGGTGTTCCTTCAAGTTAGGAAATGAACTGGTCAACATTTTTCGGAACACTTCCATTGGCACGACTGTAATACTACTGAATCGTTCTCCAAAGAACATGTGGTAACAACAAAGTCCCAGAAAACTATTCACAATTAAATGTTTCAAATATTGGGAACCTTTCTTTCTGAGAACTTAGGTTTAGGGCTCAATTTTTTCAAAAGATTACAATAAATGTGACTGTGTATGAAGCAATATATCTTTAAGACTGACAGGATTAAAACACATTTCCACTGCAGGCTATATAAATATTTTTTATGAAACTTTTCCGGTGTAATGGACCATTTGCATCAAAATATAGCCTTGCGAAGTTTGCCGTTTTTCAGTCATTTTGTATTACGCACGGGAAATTGGTAATCAGTTGATCAAACTGATTATCAATTTCCATTTGTAATGCAAAATGACTGAAAAACGGCAAACTTCGCAAGGCTATATTATCCGCATTTTACAACATTTTGCAACGAAACTTTGGAATATTACTAATTTTGTGATGCTCTTTCAAGCTGTGATGAAATTTTTATCTAGACCAAAATTTAGTCTATAATGCAAATGGTCCATTGGCTTATTGCATTTTTAATCCACACCCCGCCTATATGGAGGACATCCATTTTTTGGACCCCCTCCCTTGGAATTCCGCAGATGTTGATGAATTTCCTGCCTACCCCCTGGAATTCCGCAGATTTTTTACAATTTTCCAGCCTACCCCATGGAATTTCCACAGATTTTTAATGAATTTCTACCCATCCCTTGGAAATCCCACCGATGGTTTTTGATTTGTCTCTGGAATTTCCACATTTTTTGTTTAATAGGTAACCATCCCTTGGAATTTCCATGTTGTTTTTTTAACCCACCACGTGGAATTCCCACAGATTTTCTTTAAAATTTAGACCCTCCTTTGGAAATTCCTTCTTTTTTTGGTGAATTTTAGGAAGGGGGTCTGGAAATTCCAGTATCTTCCATAGGGGGGAGGGGGGGGGGATCAAAAATGAAATAAGCCATTTAGGTGTCGAGTTTATAGTAGATGAATTAAGTGTTTACTGTAATCATTTCAATTATTATGTATGTATAATTTATATATTCAATCAGTCTAATTTTCAGAATTAGCTATAAAACATAAAATGTAGATCCAAAACAATTTCTGGGAATTCCGGGTTTCCGATATTTTTCCACCTTTGAGTCTCGTGGAAGTACAGGAACTACGTATATTCCTGTAACAGCTTGTATAGGATCTTTAAGACTTCCTGTTGGATTCTGTAGAATTTGGGTCAAAATTTAATCTTTACTGGAAATTGTTGGAATTCCTGTATAGGAATTCCAGTGGGATTTCTCCCTATGGAAATTTACTAGAAATTACGTATAAAACGGCAAGAAATCGTTGTCAGTCCAAACAGTCCTAGACCTAAATGTCTTGAATTAACTCTAACGAGAACATGCAACAACATCGCTTTATCGCATCACTGATATTTTCTACTATGAATTAATATGATAAATGAACAATTCTCATAATTACAACAATTTAATTATGTCGCACTCATAACAATAATGAATAACAATGATTTTCTTTATTTGTGTTTAATTGAAATCAAAATATGATCAATAAATTTTTTTAACTATACTCTATGTCTATGATTACGTCTATGATTATAACAAGAATTAAAACAAAACATTTCTATCTTCTACAGACAGTTATTTGTTCAAATTTTAACAAAATGTAAACGTGCATTTATGCGCATATTATAACCAATTTACTGCTAAAATTACTGCTTGCGTTTGATTGAAAATGTCAGCTGGTGCCGCGGTTGTTCAAAGCTGGATTAGCTAACCCACGGGTTAAAATTTAACCTTCTGTTTTAGTTTATATATTTCTGCACGTCTGTTTATTTCGAAACTTCAGAGAAGGAAAACTACTGAATCCACACAAGATTTTTGAAGAAAAAGATTTCCAAATTTGTAAACAAGGTCAAGGGAAGTTTGCTTTGAATTTTAGGTGGAAAACCCTATAGGGTAAAGCTAATCGCGGCTTTCGAACAACGCTAGTCTTTTATGTCTTAGACTTAGAGAACAAAACTACAGAACAAAGTTTATCCTGTGATAGAAAATCAAAGTTAAACTGTTAAATTATACAAGACGAACTGTACAACTATTCCAATGGCAATGGGCGGTCCAATAACCGGACTACCACCAGTTCTTGCCATGCTGAGCGATTCATCAGCAAGAACCTTCCATGTATTACTGCGGCATTCAAGATCTTGGCATACTGTAGTCGCGATGACACGATAGCCTTGTTTGCTGCCAGAACCGTGAAAGCGCAGTTTGTTTCTGCGAACCGCCTCGACCAAAGTCAAAACGGTTTTGTTGAGGTTGACCACAGGGTCGGGTTCTAACTTCTGACTCATTCTATGTTCGTGTTTATTGGCAATATAGAACACAAGTTTTATAATCGTGTTGTTCATGAATGTTTTGCCTATTTTAGGATACGCAAACCACACAATGCCTTCTTTATCCAGTTTAAAATGTTTGGCGATCTTTCTGCCTAGGTCTTCGCTTAAAAACTTTCGCTCTTGTACTTCCCTAAATTTCTCATGACGTTTTACATAGAACACAAGTTTTCTTACTTGTCCTTGATCTAAGTTGACTTTCCGAAATTCAGTACAGTTCTCGATTATTTTAAGCAGCGCCAAGAGACTGTATTGTACCTCTTCACTCGTCTGTCGTAAATGCCAGAAAATTCTCCACAAGTCTGTCAAAGGTAGTTTACATATTGTTGGAATCGTCGCTGGATAAGGTGAGTAGAAACAATGTCTGTACGACGAAATAGCGTATTTTGTTAAAGATTTGCAGTTTCGCCCGTTCGTTCCATGCCATTTCCTTAACAAAGGCACCAAAGTGACTTGTAAGCATTTTCTTACGCCATTTATCCATATATTCCCACCGCTGGACAAATCTGAATATGGGTTTAGATACAAGTCGCATAGTCGTTCGGAAAATGTTATAATTTCGTCCTTAAAATTCGGCCTACATGAATATCGTTTTCCTAAACACGTTCTAAACCAGCTGCAGTCCGCACCGGTTGGGCTGAAACACCACGAAGGCAGTATAATGGTGGGTTTTACAGTTTTTACACCTTTTCCAGCGTCTGTCTTCAGTCCATCCCCAGTAGAACATGTACAAGGGCTGGCAACTTTTCCAGAATCGGCGCCGTGCTCCTCCAACATACATTGGTATATGCAAATTGGTTGACCTTTTGCGCAGCCATGACGACCCTTGGATTTCTGCCGTATGTACAAGTCCGTGACACATGTAGACCACTGTTCGCCGTTGTATCGAGAGATGCGAATACAAGCTGAACGTCCAAGAGTGGTATTGTTGCAGCAGTTTGCTCTATGTTCTGATGCAAAAATACACAGAACGATAGATACTAATAATTGTAACTTTTCAGATACACAAGAATTAGCCATTTTAAAAAACCTTTTTCGACTATAAATTTTCGCTACGAACTGGATAGGCTTGTGTACCTAACTTCGAATTTATCGCTTGGAGCTTCAGGAATCTTCTGCTATAGTTTCTCAACTTCGCGACGAGAGTGGCATATGGTGTATGGACGGCGTTTAAATGAATTTAGTATTTATACAAAACCGGCTGTTTTTCGGTGTAAGACAAATAACACGAAATCGATTTTAATAGAAATATGAAATCTGAGAAAATGAAGTTCTGGTGTTTCCGTTTTCCGAGAACATCCTTTTGTTATTTTTGGCAATGCATGCATTTCTTAGAAGAACAGCACATTGCTTGAATAAGATTATTTTCAATATTCAAATAAGCACAGTGGCTATATAAGTTGTTCATATATTGCAGTGAAAATTTCCTTAATATTGGGGCGCCACTATTTTGTAGTTAAATTATTAAGGGGCCAGTTGTTCGAAGCCCGTTTAGCTTAAACGGCGACTAAGTCAAAATTAAATAACAGATTCACACATTTTATAAATGACTGAACTTAAATCTCATGCACTAAATATATAATCGCAAACATAATTGTTCTACTCAAGTTGAAATATTTTAGTTTGGTTACTTGATGGATGTATAAACTTGATCAATATTTTCGACTTATCCACCGTTTAGCCTAAACGTGAACCGGCCCCGGCTGAACCACGCAATTTTAATTGGTTAACTTTCGCACTAACTCAGAGGCACAAACTGTAGACATAAACTCATTTCATATAACCAGGATATGAATAATAACACAAGTATAGAGATTAACGCAAGTGTATATATATTGAATGTCTGTTGCGAAGCGGCGTGCTCGTCATGTGAAGCATGCGGCTTGTCATTTTCAGTTACTTTATTTCCAATTAAATGTATTTCGTTTGCGGTATTTTCAGTTGCGACGGAAATTTATGGTACATGCACTTTTACTTTCATGATTGACTGGGGAGAGGGGAAAATTTGCCACTCTCCAATCCGCGCGTTATCGATTTTATAATCTTCACATTAATTCGGCTGAAATGGCCCAGACAGAATTGATGATTCCCCTTATTACGTTTTCGTAGCGCTTTGCATTGTGGTTATAGTGGTATCACTGATAAAGATAGCGGCCTCAAATGAAAATATTGAATATTTTCGCGAATATTTTTCTGTTGGCTATCGCGCACCTGACCCTAGCTTTTTTTCAGTAAAAGTTCTTGCACGAGTCAGGACAAAAAATAAGCCATCTTCAATATCAGTGATACCACTATAACCACAATGCAAAGCGCTACGAAAACGTAATAAGGGGAATCGTGAATTGAAATCTTCATACTCAAATTAATCTATATATCCATATAAATATAAAAAATATTTGAAAATTTAATTTTTCCCGAGCGATACATTTGACTTAAATTTGCTGCTCAGTAGGTAGGAATTTCGTGTCATCAGTAGCTAAAGAAAATTTTAACTGTCGACTCCGGTTAACATTAGGGACCTTTAGCTAGCAGGACGGCGACGGCTATTAATACAATGAAATTTATGACAGTGTAGAAAGAAAATGCATAATTAAAGGATCCTTGGGAGTTTTAGACGTCGTCCTTGCTCTGTTTACAACAGCAAAACAAAGATTTTCACGTTTTGTACACAACGTCTGCCTTTCAAGCCGCGAGAAGTCGTCCTCGCCAAATTGGCTTAGTAGAAGTCTTCTCAACTATAAACCTCTGTCTTAACCTTCTTAAATTGCAATAAATTCATACAACGGATAGTACAAGACATGTTGATCTTAAAGTTGCTTATTCGAACGAGTTAATTTTGGCCGTCGTCGTCGCGTTGCCGTCACCTATTTGCTGAAAATCCCTATTGTCATTAGGGACCTTCAGGGTTTAGGGTTTTGCTCCGTATATCAATTTTACAGCACCTGCATGAACCCGTCTACTTGATGCTTCATGAGGCATCCAGTCAAACATTATATCCAGTCAAAGCATTATTCGGGGAAGACGAACAAATTCAAGTCATTTGAAAATGATAGAAAAATCTAAAAGACTCGCGCTCCAATACATGGACTTGAGACTGACATGAATTTGAGCCTTGCTGCATGCAATGTAAATATTTCCTGGACTTTGCCTGGCTTTGCGACATAAGAAGTTTGGGTCAACAAAAACTGAGACAAGTTTAGACGTAATCTAAACAGAATATTCCCATCAACTCAAACAGCTGGTTCAAACATGCATATATAGAAGAAATTAGTCGACTCGGTTAACCGGGCTACCCATTGGTCGTTTCCATAGATATCTTATATAAGATATCTATGGTCGTTTCATATTAAAACAGCTCAATAGTTAATACAGAATATGCAACCTCAATTAAATTAAGGTTGTCCACGAGCAAAGCGGAAAAGTCGAATACGAGCGCGTAAGGCTGCTGGAAATCGCTAACAAATTAATGAATTTTCAAAGCAGTTCCCAGCAGCCTTTCGCGCTCGTATTCGACTTTTCCGCTTTGCTCGTGGACAACCTTAATTAATTGAAATAGCTGTATATATATGCAACCTCAACTCAATGACAGGTGAAACATGCGTGCACTTACTCTGTCCTAACAACACCTAAAATACTACAACAATAATTATTCCTTGAAACTGTATTTCTAAACACACATGTCATTAACATGATCTTCACGCTGTTTAACGTACTCAATAGTCAATACCAAGAAACCTTTCAGAAGAAGGAGCATATGCTATAACACCTGAGAGAAATAGTAACACTTGAAGGACTGTTACAGATATGTCGCTGTAGGGTATGAACTTAATTCGGCTAATTCTTTTACGTCCGGAAATAGTTCTTATACGTTGAGATGAAATTGTACTCCTTCACGAATTGAGCCGATTTATTTCGGGGGATTTCCCTGAATTTCCGGGTTTTGAAAGCAGTCTCATAACAAAATCTCGCTCAATATGTAGCACCATAAAGCTTATACAAAAACCATGCACTCTATGAACTCTAGGACTCTACAATCATGGATTACATCAAGTTTCATCTCGCGTGTAAAACCAAATGTAGTCTCTCGTAAAATTGAAGGTGACAATGCCCTCATTGTCTGCTCATGCTTTCTGGCTAGAAGGTCAGTGAAATTAAATCCGGCTAAACATTTCAAGTTTACTACCATTTCCAGAGAATAAATACCTATTTATTTTCTCAAAATATGGGATTCTAGGTATGCTTTTGTCCAGGTATACCGCTCGTGAACCTACGCATCTGTACTTTGCAGTCATTGTCCTTTGGATTTGGAGACAAATGGAATCCCAAAATGAGCATTGAATACAAGCTGCCCGTTTGCTGACAGCTAACTTATGGTAAAGTGTTTGTCAACTATTGTCTGCTGAGTGTATTGTATTTCCGAAGCGCTACAGGTCAGCCTTTGGCTTTGGCATGCACCTTTGCCTTGCTTCACCACTAAAGCTAAATTAACTTCATTTATGTTAGATAACTCTATCTGTTCTAATGTGTTTTCTCTAGAGATCCAGTACAATATAAGGCTTATTGGTTTAGTTTTCACTGCAGGAAGAAACTAATGAATAAAGTCTAACTTGATCTGGCCCGCCTCCACAGGCATCTTTAGCTAGGGAATCCAGTGGATCCAAATTTAATTATTGTGGAGCCGATTCCATAAAGATCTCTGTGGAAGAGGGTAAACCTTGATTCACCATCAAGTCATGAGCCAACATTACGAAACATTGTTGATGTTGAACCAACATGCTACACTGGTTTCCTTGAAGAGGACTCCTCTGACATTAATCACTGAATTTCCTTGAATAACTATTCATTCTGGAGCAGCATCCTATCAGTTCTAAACTTCTGCTGTACCTCAGTTGGTTAGAGCGCTGCACCGGAATCGCAGGTTCAATTGCCCAAAAGCGTGATATTTACCTACAGAGAAACTGCAGAGAGCCACACATATAGAGCCAAGGCCACTTAATTAAACACCTTCACATAAGTAACTATTGCCTTGCGCACTTCCTTCAATTTTCATAATTAATTACTACGTGCTAAAAGTCAATACACGACACCATTAATTCCCTTACCTCTCTACAAGAGGAAAGCCATTGGCTATTAGCACGACACACTAACAATGCCTTAGCTAATTTGCAACATCGTCAAATATAACACAAACAAAAATAATTACAACCGTATTGTCTTAAATCCAAATCGGAACTTAATCTCCAAGGAAACTCTACAAAACATTTTGGCAATATTAGATACAGCTCCATGACTATGTACAGTTTTGATGTATACAAATGAACAAAATTGCAGCATCGTACGTTTTTAGTCTTCAACAATTTTGTGGCTTTTTTAGCGTAAGTGCAAGATGGGCTGCGCGTGTATTAAAGCAAAAATGGGCAGAGGTAAGTGGGTCGTAAGTGTATGTGTATTAAAGTTGTTAACCATTTGACGCTGTTTGCTTAGTTATTTTAAAATGCTGTTGAGCTCAGGTCTAATTTAGGTAACAATAGCCCAACGTACTTTGTCGAAATATGGCAAAATTCGCAAGTAGATATTGGAATATAGGTTCAGGACATGTTTTTTTTAAATTCGCGCCAATATTTTGCTTCATACAAGACATTTTCAGTCATAGAGCTGATTGCTGTATCAAATATGAACTGTAATACATTATTCAGACTATTTGTTGGGTTTAGTAAGGGTTACACAGAAATGTTGACACTTCTCACTTACAGGAACTACGCTATACATCTAGATATCAGACTATCAAAAATACTTATTTCATTACCACCAAATACATGCAAGACTACCATATATAATGGCAGAATTGACAATGTTTTTTCATTCTGGTAACTGCCAGTTTACCGACACTATCTGCTGACTGCTGCGTGATAATGTTTAGCGAATTCCGCCTAAACTAGTGAAGTAGTTCTCAAAGCGGTCAATTGGGGTATCGCATGCATCAGTAATTCTAATTCCTGTCACAAGAATCAAGCTTCTGGCTCCGCTTCTGGTCATATCAGTGTAAAGTTCTCGTGACTGCAAAACTTCCGTAAAACAGCAAGACAAAAGTATACATAGAATCCAATATTTTACGAAAAGAACCTTTCTCTTGGAATGGCAGTAAACTAGAACTGTATTTCGACGGCTTTCATATTTAGCCAGAACTCGTGTAAGACGAAAGGAAACTCCTATTAAGGAAAAATTGCCCATCTGGACGGGGTGTCGACATTTCAAACATTAACCATCATTTTCTGTCTTGTAACTCTCACAGAAACTCACCAATATCGCAAAATACAGGAGCAGATCTACCGTGGGGTGTCTAGCACCCCCCCCCCCCCCTAGAGAAGTCCAGCACCACCCTAAAAAATCTGCTTGACCATACATTTTCTGCTTTACGAAAAGCGATTAGCGGAACTTCTACCGTTAGCACGTGTCGATTTCTTGAAACGATTTAATCCAATTTGTGAGCTCACGAGAAAATACTCAGAATCATATTTTAGTTTGAAATATCATGGTTAAATATGTAAACATGTCGAACCGATTATGCACCATATTTTCAAACATTCTGTAGTTTAACAAGCAGATTTACTCTACTGTGCTACAGCAACTGTCCAGTCCGTCCTTGAGAAACTTTATAAGCAAAAGATGATGTAAAACGTAACACAACGGCGAACATGCAGATTCGGCCATCTCAAATAATGGTACTGTTGGATATAAACGTTGCAGACTGCAGAGTGGGCAGTAAGGCTCCCTCATGCACCACCCCATGGGAACCTACACCCTCCTTGAAGATGAGGTTAGATCAGCCTTTACAATCTATAATTTCCTGTTCTTATTTTGTGTCACTGTAGTAAGGCCTCTGCCAGTTCGAATGGACGTAGGAGGTCGAAACGAGGCCGCAAGAAGAAGACAATCAATTGCTCTAGAGAAGCAACGAACTTACAGTACCGTCGAAAATCACATCAACCATGTGAAACATCACAAGGACAGAGAAGAGAGCTCAAAATGCGAGAATGACGTCATAACAGAGGAACACGCGGGGGGCATTCAGGTTGATATCGAGGGACAACAAAGAGGAAGAAGGGATGTTGAGGATAACGCTTCACAATCCTGTTGTCAGGCAGACGAGCAGAGTTTAACTTCGGAACATGCTTAGCTACGGGGAATGATGATTAGATCAATAATGGATGGCTAGTTGTCTGGTGGGATATTGAACTGAACCAACTACCACAGGTTTTCAGTCTATCACTCCAGTTTTCTCCTGTAGATCAACTGAACCAAAAAGGAATTGACTAGTTGCTGCAGCGATCCTAACTGAACCAAAAAGGAATTGACTTTTGCTGCAGCGATCCTAAAACACTCTCGACATTACAATAGCTGCTGATGATATTCTTTTGTTAGCGTTCCTCCAACATTTTAAGGTCAACCGCAAATGGTCCATTTACAGACTGCATTTTCAACAGAACAGATAGAATTATTTATATACACCATGTGATACTATACATTCGACTGAGAATACAAGTTAAAAAAAAAAAAACTTCCATGTTGAAAGTCATCGACAGGCAACAAAAATTCGAAAATACTAATTGTAAAATAAAACCAATAGAACCAATAGTATTGACCATGAACCAATGTTATGAGTTATGGTTAACAAAACATATGCATGATTTCAATGGTTTATTGAGTGTACTGTACCGCATAGTGCCGTGTACTAGATCAACTATAATAATCTAAACAATTAATCAAGGCAATCAAACTTGCATTTTTTGGGATGCAGACATGCA